ATCCATGGATGCCATACAAAGCTTTTTTTGTCGTGCAGTTGCGTGCAGCAAAGCGGCTCGTAAATTTAATCGTTCCCTTCAAATTCCACTGAGGAAGAGCTATGACAGTCATAGGAAGTCGGGACTGCTTCAAATCCTCGACGAAAAATAAAACTTTATGGGCGTTCGTGTGTTCATTAAGTATACATGCCAACAACCTTTGATAATCCACTCCTAGTGCTAAAGAAAAGCGTTAAAATAATTTCTGACGAAGTGTCAACGCGCGCGCTAGCATCCAGCAAGTATCCTGAAATTGTGTCGGAATAGGATTTATCGCAGGGTCGAATTGCTGAAGTCCCTAGAGAATGACTCAAGTGGACTTTACTCTCACATGTGCGGCAAGAAAGAGAAATTCTTGAGTGTTAACAGCTAGGAGGGTTTGCTGGGGATTTGAAATACATTTCTCCAATTATTACCTTCAATGCTCTATTGCTTTAATTACAGATCGTCCGAGGGTGGCTTGGGTACCGATTGAGTCAAGAAATATCAGTGATGTGGTCAGCAAAGCTCTTGAAGGTAGTGAGGAACGACTTGTCAGAATAGGAAAAATGTTGTCTGTGAGTCTTTGATCTTCAATTTACCTAATTTTTTGTTTGGATTCAAAAGTAGCCTTAGAGTAGCGGAAATTTTGCTTCGGAAACATCTGTTCCTCATTTATGTTTGAATGTAAAAGATTTTCAAATTTTCTAAAGTTTTAAATTCTCAACACGTTTTAAGAGCTTCGGACTATGTGAGAGCTTTAACTCGCAGTATGGTCTAAAGATAATTGCCACAATTTGCTATCTTTATAGGAAAATTTTGACACAACCTTTTTTCAAGGGATATGTACGGTATTCCTAATTTCGATGTACGGCTTTGCTTTCCAACACAGACATAGATAAACCATCTGAAATTTTCTAACTTAAAGGCAGAAAGAGGGAAAAAAAAGATTCTGCCATCTCTAAATTTATTTCCAGGATTCTTACGATAAAATGGCTCGTGATAATGAGGAAGGCCAACAGAAAATACGGCAGCTCGAAGAAACGACGAATGCCTCCTTGCAGGACATTACATTTACCACAACAATTGTAACTTTTTTAAGCTTTGGCATTGCCCATTTATGATATCCGTTGCCCAATTCAATCTAGTCAGAAAGTGTTGCCTTCTTTCCAAAAATCCACTGCATCCATATTATCACTGTCCTGCCTCCGTGCAAAGTGTTGAACAAGAAAAAGACACTTTCGGAATTTAGCCTCAAGTGTGTTATTGATTTTGCTATACCAGTGTTCCTAATATTCCTCCACAAACGAGTCATCGTATGCCGTGATTGATGAGCTAATGAATTATGTCACTTCCCTTGATTTCTGCAGTCAAGTAATCTGCTATGTTGTATGTTGTGCTTTTGTTGAGATTCTACTTTTATATCAAGATATGTATATTAGTTTATTTCGTACTTGGAGTAATCATTTGTCTCATACATTTGTCGATAAAGGTTTATTTCACTGCGAATGCATAAGC